GCACTTGTTACTAGAAGCGATGCACTTGTTCCTAGTAGCTTCTTGTTTCTACTAGTAAGGCGTATCTGCCAAGCTGCTAATGGACATGTTCTCAACGTATTGGTATCCCGGCTGCTCTGCAATTTCGGACAACGCCTACGGAGGTGAGGCAATGCAGCATCTCTTAATCTGAGTGCAGTCTCCTTTGAGGCAATCCACCTTAAACAAGAAAGAAAAGAAAGGTCTACCGAAAGAAATGTTAAAAGAAAGAAAAGGGTCTATATTTTGAGGTTAAGAGAAACAGAAAAAGAAAACAAGAGAAACACATGTTCAGCCTCATCTGAAATGCGAGTCCATAGTGACCCCTCCGTCAGCTCTCGCCGGCGCTTTGGCTTTGGCTTTGGCGGCGCCTCTGCTCGCGCTGCACTCCAAACCTGGGCAGAGCAAGAGAGTTTCGAGGTGAAGTCAATTCTAATTCAATTCTAAGAAGGAGCCCCTAGTAGCGTTCGTGTTACTAGTAGCGAGGCCAGGAGCCCCTAGTAGCGTCCGACATGTGAAGTCTGTGGGGCTGCATGGTTGTCCACATGGCCACAAGCCTCCTCCACGCCCCAAACTTTCAGCTGTTGACCAGCCTTGGTGCTGCGCCCAGCCAAGCCAAGGTTTGTCGCACACTGTGTGTTACCCTCAAAAATCATGTGTATCAAGATTGAATTGGAGGTCATCGCTACTAAGTTGGAGGTCATTGCTAGGTTGGAGGCCATCGCTATTAGGACATGTGTCTGTATCAAGATGCAGTCAACATCGGAAACTGGGAGTCCCCAACAGGAGCCGGGGGTGGCCTGGTCCACACGGCTGCACCATCCATGGTGAGAAATGTCGCCTCAACAGCACCACAAAAACAAAACACAAAAGGACATACAGAAATGATTGACAAGGGAAAGAAAGGAAACTTGAGGCCGAGGGTAGGTGACGAAAGCTAGCAGGGGTGCATCCGGACTTGTGGGACATCAAGCGGAGTGAGGCAAATGCTCATGAGGTAAAACGTTGTGAACATGTAAGACACACAAACAGCAATGACACAGCCAACCTTAGAATTGAAGTCCCCGATAATTAAGGAAGCGTGGCTGGACTTTGCCACATTGTTCGATGCATCCGATGTGTTCACGAACCTGTGAGCTTGTTGAATCTGTTGCACCGTATCCCAAAACCTCCACTGCAGTGTGGATGCCATAAGAGGTGCCCAAGAGGTGTCCCAGAGGCAAAACAAAGCTGCTTGCATGATTTGTTTGGTTTCTTCTATCGATGTCGATGTCATGAACATGTGAGCTTGTTGAATCTGTTGCACCGTATCCCGGAGGAGTTAAGCCAAAGTGGATGCCATAAGAGATGCCCGAGAGGTGTCCCAGAGGCGTCCGAGGGGAGAGTTGAACCCACGGGGGGGGGGGGGGCCCCCCCTACATATGAAATTTTCACGTGATGCGGCGATCCCGAGGATTCCAGCCCCTCACTTGCTAAAGCAAGGACAACTCCAGCTAGCTGGTGCTAGCTTTCGTGATAATGCTTGAAAAGGGCTCTTAAAAAATGTGTCGCCTCAACAGCACCACAAAAACAAAACACAAAAGGACATACAGAAATGATTGACAAGGGAAAGAAAGGAAATAATGCTTGAAAAGGGCTCTTAAAAAATGACAAAAGCACCGGATATACATAACAATAAGAATAGTAGTAATAGCAAGAAAGAAAAGAAATAGAATACAAAAAGTACGGCGCCACACCACACTCGCGAGGAGTCGGAAGGGGTTCGGCCTCATCGGAGTGCTTGGGCCGCTTCCGAGCTTCTCCATGAGGTGCCTTCGCACAAAGAAAAGTGGGGAGAAATAGTGAAAAGAAAAGAGCTCAGTGAAATGCTTTCCAAGTGAAAAGTGGAAATTTGTGAACTTCACTTGCATTCACTTGGCAAGAGAACTGGGACTGCATTCATGATGCGACTGGGTTTTGTTGAACCTTTGTTCTGAAGTTCATCTCGCACGCCTCGTCAGTTTCTATGGCACGGGAGGACTCTGACATGATACACAACAACAGTGTCCTACTACTACTACAGTATTATGATGTTAAGTAGCTGCTGTCAAAATGACATGAGATGCGTCTAGTTCAAGAATAAACAGCAGAAACATCCTGAGCCGCCTTGCTCGCAGGAAATTGAGCGGTTTTTTGCCACATGAATTGATGCATTCAGCGCCCGGTGTCATGACGTCAGCGCCCACAATGCTTTGCACACCTGTTTTGGCAGAGCAACTTCCGCAGATTCTCAGATTGCCTGAGCTTAGCCAATGCGGCAGTGTTGCAATTAGGTGGAGGCCATGGCTCTTAGGGAGGCCATCAAGCCTGGGCTGGCGCACGCAATGCTGCCATGGCGAGGTGCATTCGGAATCAAAGGCATGCCAGTAGAATGAAGGCTACTTGCCCTGCAAATGCCCATAGCTGGCCAAATTTGGAACGTATCATGATGCTTAAGCCGCTTCCAGCAGCTTCTGGAAGAAAAATGACTACTATGTGGGTTGATCGTAGGCTCTTTGGCTGTGAGGAAGGAAACAGACAACAATTGAACATCTGCATGAATTACCCACGTTGTTAGATAGGCGCGCTGCCGTGAAAGCTGGAAGTTTGAGCTTCGAGGCAAACTTGGACTTTGAGTTCGAGCACTCTCATCTTGAGAGGCCCTTTTGGGAAATAGCATTCCATGTATGTTCAATTGGCAGAAATGACTTGCCAAAACTGCTTGCCACAATTCCGGACATTGACACACGCCTATGACATAGAGATTCTGCAAATCTCGTGTGCAGGAAGAACTGCTTGAATGGAAGAGTACACTTTACCAGAGCCATATTGGTTTGGGCAATTGACTGTGGAATATTGCCATCCCACTGCAAAGCCCAACGTCGGCTGAAGAATTCAACTTTTTCAACGCAATGTACTGACGTTGTTGAAAAAAACATCACATGTTTGAGCCAAAGGCACCCGCAGCAAAGCTGCATGGAAGCATTGACTGTTACGATGGTAAGCTTTGACAAAGGGACTTCCCGGAATGCCAACATTCTTGCCCTGCTTTTCATCTCGAACCTTTTGAAGCACTTTAAAACTTGGGCTGTTGTCGCTGCTGCAGACCGACGAATCAAAGCTTAAGCTATGCGCTTGGACCGATAGGCTAGAATGACCGAAACGCGCAAGGTGGGGGAAAACACAGGCATGGGAAGATGCAAAGGCCGTGAAGCTTTCAATCCTCTGTATCAATGGCATGTGGGTGTCCCACGTGAAGAGATGCCACAAGGCAGCTGCGTCACAAGGGCTTTGGGCACGTCTGCGCGATGTTTTCTTTTTGCGCTCAAACCGTTCAGGCAGCTTTCAAGGTGGCTCGGAAAGCAAAAGTCAACCTGAACCGTTCTCGCCGTCTGTCCGTTTTACCGACCCAACATGCACTTGCGCACCTCAAAGGAGCAAAATTGATTTGCCAGTCATGCAAGGTGAGGATGCCTCCAATACTAAGAATCGTGCGAGGCGAGCAATTGGAAGTCTGGCCGCGCCTATGATCTTGGGTTGGAGTGAAGGGGCTGTGGGCAATTTTCTGCAATCCTTGTGAAATTGAGTGCATGTGTGGACGTCACTGGCAAGTCACCTATCAGACCTAACATGTCGCAGGACACTTCAAGCAACGCTATCATTCGGACCTCAACAGCATGGAACTGCGCAAGAGGCACATTCTGCGCATCCCAAACAAACTTTGCACCGTTTCGCCTTAAGGCGCTCTAGCGTCACCGATGAGAGCTTCTTTGTCTTGACAATTGTTTTGTCTTTGTTTGCTTGAAAATACATACCTTACCTTCCATTCTTTTTATTGTCCTGAGGAAGCAACCTTCCGAAAAGGAACGGGAACACGTGACGGCGTGTGACATAAACTGCCTAACTCCAATAACTTTGTTTTTCAAACTAGCGTGCCAGTAAGGCCGCATTGAGCTGGAGGAACAAGGCATATTATATGTACATATAGCTGCCCTGGATCTTTTGGTTCAATGCATCCTTCTGTTTTTCAAAGCTGTGGCACGGGCCCAAGCTATCGAGCAGTTCCAATTCGAAAGGTCCACCTCTTCAAACCAATCTCAGGCGCAGTTTTTGACAACTGTCCTGCTTTTGCTTAGCTCAGACAGCTCAGGGTGTTTGGGCTGTTCGGGCAAGCTACTTAGAAAGTATGCTTGTGCGTAGTTGTCTCTGCCACAAAAAGTTCCTGGTCATTGCGGCAGTCTCCGCTGATTCAGCTGCAGTATTCTTTCAGCAGCTACCTTACCTTTGCAGCATGATATAAGTCTGAATGTTGATAACCATGGACATGACAGCGCACCTTTCTTCAAGTTCTGGGAAGAGTATAGATGCTTGACTGACTTCCTAGTGTTGCTGAAGCGACTGTTCACAACAACCCTGAATCGCCTGCCAACAAGCTGAAACTTTGTATCACTCCAGTCATCTTTGTGTTCACCTGGACGCTTCGCGCAGCTCTTGACAAAACGCCACGTGGCAACAACACCACAGGGTAAACATGACAAAATC